GGGAATTAACAATGGTGGTTGTATTACATATTGATATCTTCAAAGTGGCTTCTCATGAAAACAGATATAGACATGCAATACTGGTCAACCAAACATGTCCTGAAAATTTGGATAGAGCTGAAGCTCTGCAGTAGTTACAGGAGTTATGTGATGTTCGAGTTCAGAGCCTGAATGATGACCGGAGTGAAGCTTGGCTCCTGAGCCTGCACCTGCATCTGCTCTGGCTGTACAATTTTCACCTGTGGGTGTTTCAAATGAGAAACTGTAACCTTCTGCAATATCACAGAATTGTCAGCCTCTGTAGTAACTTTAGTACTTAGGGTAAAGCCCATGTCCAAGGGCTGTACCACAATACTCGTCAATGTTGGAGGGTGAGTTCTATGCTTACCCAGTGGTCTTGGATTTGTCATTTCACGTGGTAGTGCAATGCTCTCCTTTAGCCTTCTTTGATGGCTGCAAAGGCTGAGATGGGATCTCCTGAAAATTTGGACAGAGTTGAACCTCTGCAGTAGGTACAGGAGATATGTGATGGTCCAGGTTCAGAGCCTGAATGATGACAGGACTGAGGTTTGGCTCCTGAAGCTGCACCTGTGTCTGCTCTGGCTGTACACGTGTCTGCTCCGGTGCTTCAAAGAAAAACTGTAACTTCCTGCAGGATCACAAAATGTTTAGCCTCTGTACTGAGTTTAGGACTTAGGGTAATGTCCATGTCCAAGGGTTGAACCGAAACACTGGGCACAAGTGGAGCTTGAGCCATTTGCTGACCTAGCGGCCTTGGAGTTTGCAATTCATGTGGTAGTGTATGCTCTCCTACAGGCTCCACAGAAGGCTCTGGAGGCTGAGGTGGGGTCTCCGGAAAAGTGGGAGAGAGTTGCACCCCTGCAGTAGGCACAGGAGTTATGTGGTATTCCATGTTCAGAGCCTGAATGACAACAGGAGTGAGGTTTAGCTGCTGAGCCTGCGCCTGCATCTGCTCTGGTTGAACAAGTGTCACCTCCGGGTGCATCAGAGGAGAATCTGTACATCGAAACACTTGGAACTATTGGAGGCTGAGCTGTATCCTGACAGAGGGGTCTTAGATTTGTAACTTCATGTGGTACTGTATGCTCTCCTATACGCTCATAGATGGCTCTGGAGGCTGAGACCGGGTCTCCTGAAAATTTGGAGAGTTGAACCTCTGAAGTAGGTACAGGAGTTATGTGATGTCCAGGTTCAGAGCCTGAATGATGACAACAGTGAAGTTCACCCCTGATCCTGCGCCTGCACCTACTCTGGCTGTACAAGTGTCACCTCTGGGTGCTTCAAAGGAGAAACTCTAAGCTCCTGCAGCATAATAGATTGTTCAGCCTCTGTAGTGACTTTAGGAATTAGGGTAAAGCCCATGTCCAAGGGCTGTTCCACAACACTGGGCATTATTGGAGGCTGAGCTGTATGCTCAGCCAGCGGTTTTGGATTTGTCGCTTCATGTGGTACTCTGTAGTCTTCTATAGCTTCCATAGATGGCTCTGAAGGCTGAGATGGGGTCTCCTGAAAATGTGGAGAGAGTTGAAGCCCTGCAGTAGGTATAGCTGTTATGTGATGTTCCAGGTTCAGAGCCTCAATGATGACTGCAGTAGGTACAGAAGATATGTGATCAAGTACTACTCAGCTATAAAGAAAGATAAACTAGAGGCTTTTATTCATAAATGGATTCAACTTGAGACCATATTCTAAGTGAAATAAACCAGACTCACGTGTAAACATTATATTGTCTTCCTAGTGTAACTAACTGAAACAGTAAATAAGATTCAAAAGGTACAACAGATATAGTGAAAGGGAAAGAAACTGCTGAAAAGGTAAGAACAACTGGGATGGGGGAAAAGAGAAAAGAAGGGAAAAAATAAAAGATATGCGTACATACACAAGATAGCTACAGATAACTGTACAATTAATTTCTATTACTTCATTAAAAGGAACACTTCGTCCTTATATTGTTTGATCAATTTTCCATGCGTATATCTGAGCAACCACTTTGAAGATAACAATATTCAATATAATAACCATTGTTAATTTCCTATCATCTTGTTTTGAAATTCTGTATATTTTTATTGGTTTTTATTTCCTCTCTCTTTAAAATAATAAAAAAGGGAAACATGGGGGTTTGTGGAGAGCCCACAATTGGGGACAGAGAACTGGGCATGAGGCTCTAGTACCTGGCACCTCTAATCTTTGCTTTTCTTATCTATAAATGAAGTAAGAAATGCTTGCTTTGCTTTCATTTCTGGGGAAGGAAGGAATAACATAATTGGTGAGAAATTACTTTTGAAAACCAAGCAACACTGGTTTTGTATAAAGAGCAAAGTGCTATTATTTATTATTTGTCCAGGATCACTAGTAGAGAGCTGTATTCAAGCTATCTGGATGTGAAAGCAGTCACATGTTGCAAACGTGAAGTTTGCAATGAGCTAAAGAACGTGACATACAGAAAACACTTGAATGCACCTGAGTCATCTGAGATTCAGAACAAGCTTGGGGATGGACAGTCTGGGCATGTAAGAACACTGTACTCCTTTAGAAGAGACAGGCTCTGGCTATGCAATCAGAAACTCTTGGGCCTCTAATAAAATGGCGTCACTTAATACTCTTTTATGCATTTGCAAAAATAAGACAAAACTGATCTACACTTGCCCCAAGGAAACTTGAGACCTAGTGGATATAAAACCAGCTTACAAGCTGCACTGCACTTTATGAACTAAGTTTTCACTGGGAGGCAAAGCACCAAAGAGCACAGTCCATGGTGCATGGCCAAGAAGGGTGTTCCCCCGCCTTCCAGCCCTTTTTCTCTCTGTCCTTACTCATATGGGACAGTTATCTTATTGCATCATGCAGAACCTGACTCTCCACAGGGGAGCACTTCAGAAATTTAGCAAGCTTAACTTTGATGAATGAATAAAAAGTAAAATGATTATATCATTAGTTTATGATTTTATCATCACCTGTTAAAAATTAAAAAGCAAATAAAATAAAAATGAAAACATTCATCATCAGGTAGTTCAGACTCACGGCACTGCGTGTCATTGGTCAGACATGCGCTGTCACACAGCAGCTTGACTGTCTTGCAGACAACCTCAATATCATCTTTAAAGTGGCAGAGACAGCAGACCATATGGCTCGGTAAGATCCTGCAGACAGAAACACAGAGATCTGAGTTACTGGACAGAGGTTCCTTGAATGGTAGTAGAGGAAAGACAAGGCTCACGCAAGGCTGCCCAGAAAGCAGTTCTTGAGGCAAGATCTGAGCAGTTGGGTGGGAACCCAATAGCAATTGTGGCTTTTCAATATTGTGAATAAATAGGAGGGAGAGAGGTTCCCCACAGAAGGGTGAGCTTGGCAGTGCATGCGGTGGGCCCAAAACAAAAGTAATAGAGGTTAGCACTGAGTGACAGTAATGAGTTGCATTCAGAAGCATCTCCTTTCAACTCAAAAGTCTTGCTCTGGGTTGGGAGAGCACAGGAAGATGGCCGGCTTCTAAAATGAATCTGAATCAGCCTCCAAAGTCTCGGGTCCATTTCTCAATTCCTGTTAGGAATAGTAAATGTTGGATGTTATTCTGGGCATAAAAACAGCTTATTTTCTACTCACATTGTGTGGCTAATAACAGAGATTGAATTGGCCAAATCTAGACAACTGGAGCATTCAAATGGATGAGGATTACACGCGCACTAACACTCAGTCTTAGAAGTACATTATAGAAACCAAAGTGATGGCATAAGGCATATGCCTGTAACCCTAGCACTCTGGGAAGCTGAGGCAGGAGATTCAAAAATTCAAGCCTCGTCTAGGTAGCTAAGTTATTTGGTGAGACCTTGATTCAAAATAACAAAATGAAAAAAGTATGTAAGTTGTGGGGAGGGGCCTAAGTAAGAAAACCCTAGGAGTTAAAAAAAAAAAAAAAAAAAAGATATCTGCACACATACACTCAACAGCATTAGCTAGTAAAGAAATGCTATAAACTATAGTGAGATTCAACTATATACTCAGTAGTAAAAGTAATAATAATAATACTACATACAACAGCAGTCTATGTGTACCTATGTTTGTAGCAGCACAATTCATAAGAGCTAAATCTTGGAATCAGCCTGTATGCCTATCAACAGATGAATGGATAAATAAAATGTGGTACCTATACATAATGGAGTACTGTTGCCCTTAAGAAAGATAAACTTGAGGGGCTGGGAATTTAGCTCAGCGGCAAAGCACCTGGCTGGCAAGCACAAGGTCGTGAGTTCGGTTCCCGGTACCGGAGAAAAACCAAAAAAAAAAAAAAAACAAAGAAAGATAAACTTGAGGCCTTTGAAAGAAAATGGATGAACCTTCAGACCATAATGTTAAGCAAAGTAAATCAGACACACAAGTTTATACATCAAATAGTTTCCCTTATATCAAAAATGTAATAGATAAGAGCAGAAAAGAGAAAGAAAAAAGCAATTTTATTGTAACTGTTTCTGTTGTCCCTGGTTTCAGTCTAATATAGTATGAAAACTCACATTGCAGGATTTATAATTCTTTGTGTATGTTAAGGTCTCTTTTTTGAGACAGGATCTCATTATATATCCCAGCCTGCCCTCAAACACACAGTGATCCTGATACTTCAGCCTCCTCTAAGTGCTAGGATGATTAGAGGAGTGCACTACCACACCCAGTGGTGATATGTTAAAGTCTTTAATGTTATTTTGAGCATGGTCTATTTTGAAAGAAAAGAAAGTAAATTTCCAGAAATAAAACCTATGAAGATAGAAAGTAGCTGAGTAGTTACCTAGATTTAGAGAGGAGGAATTAGAAGATGACGATGACTAGCAGGTGGAGTGTTTTTATTTGGGATGGCAGAAATGACCTAAATTTGACTGTGGTTGTAGTTGTATACCTGTCAATGTGCTGGACTTTACTGAATCTTGTGTTTTAAGTGCATAAATTGTGTGGCAAGCAGATTTTGGTTTAAAAAACTTGTTTTATTTTAAAAATAAAAAAGAAGCCAATGAAATTGAGGCCAAAAATACAAAGAATTAATGAATCTAATAGTTGGTTGTTTGAAAGAATAAACAGACAAACCCTTAGCCAGTCTAACCAAAAAAGAAAGACCCAAATAAATGCAATGAAACATGAAAAAGGTGAAATCACAACAGACACTGCCAAAATTTAAAAAAAAAATTTTTAACAACTACTTCACTTATTGTACACCAATATATTTGAGAGTTCAAAAGAAACTGATAACAATAAATGGAATGAAACATGAAAAAAGTGAAATTACAACAGACACTGCCGAAATAAAAAAAAAAAAGAAACATTTTTAACTCTTGAAGTCACAGGCCATAGGCAAGGACTTTCTGAACAGAACCCGAGATCCACAGGAAATAGTTCCAGGAATCAATCAATGGGATCATATTAAATTTAAAAGCTTCTGTACAGCAAAAGAAACAACCAACAGAGTGAAAAGACAACCTACAGAATAGGAAAAAATTTTCCAGCTACTCCTCAGACAGAGGATTCACATCTAGAATACATAAGGAACTTAAAAAAATTTAGACCCCCTCCCAAAGAAAAGACCCAGTCTAAAAATGTGCAAGTGAACTGAATAGATACTTCACAGAAGTACTAATGGCCAATAAACTCATGAAGAAATATTCAACATTACTGGCCCTTAGAGAAATGCAAGTCAAAACAATACTAAGATTCCATCTTATCCAAGAAATACTGGCTATCATCAATAAATCAAATAATAACAAGTGCTAGCATGGCTGTGGGAAAAAGAACCTTCTCTATTCTTGGTGAGAATGTCCAACCACCTTGGAAATCAGCATGGAGATTTCTCAAAAAACAAAGCTATCTCTATT